AATGTAGTGAATGTGATATGCTGATATCATTTCCCCTTTTCAGACAACGTGAACAAGGCGCTGGTGATCGACTACACGACGACGCGGCTGATATCCTGCGGCAGCCTCTCGCAGGGCATCTGCTCGGTGCGCAACCTGCACAACATCTCCGACGGCACGCTGGAAGTGCGCGAGGCGGTCGTCGCGAACAATTCGACCGCCTCGACGGTCGCCTTCATTGCGCCCGGCCCGCCCAACCCGCCCGTCTCGCAGGTAAGCCATGCAGTATGCAAAGTTATTGGACGTGTCCAGTGTTGCCAACGATCTGTTGTTGAAACACGCCAATGTGCTATTGAAAAGGAGCAAGAAAAAGTTCTCTGTTCATCACGTGTAAATGATGCATATACATATACAGGGTGTTAACAAATAAGTTTCACAACGGAAAACTGTAGATTGCTCATGAAAAAAGAAAAAGAATATTTCCTTTCGAAAATTTTCTCCGGTCTTCCGTTATCATGATACAAGGCGTCAAAGCAATCAATAGGATTTATGCCAAAATTTACACATTATCTCCTGTGAAGAGGCTTCCTTTCAAAACCGCCCTCCTCCGCCTGCCCGCAGGTCATGTACGTCGGCGTGACCTTCACGCTCGGCTCGCCGTACCGGTCGGAGGTCCCTGCTGTCAGCAGCCGGTCGCTGGACAAGGAGAAGATGTTCGCGATCGCGCAAACGGCCGTAACCACGGGCACGAGGATGTTCGTAAATTCGCTGGCCAGGGAAAGGTACCCGATCACGTACGTGTACGGGTTCGCTTCGGAGGGGTTCAGCTACTTCCTGACCACGCAGATGAAGCACACGTCGTCGGGGGTGTATATCAGGTGAGTGTGGGAGGATTTTCTTTTTGGTTTCAGGTGGTACGGAAAGCGATAACTTGCATTACCGAGTGAAATTTGTTCTAAAGTCTTTTCTCTCGACGAGAGTAACTTGTCGAATGGCCACGTAAGGGAAAACATGAATACACTTCTACAAGAAATTAACGTGCCACCAAAATTTACTCAAGAGTTTAAGATACAAGTGTTTTGAAAAAGGATGGAGTTCTTTAATTTTCATTGACAATTTTTCAGAACCGGTAGAGCCTCTTTGGGATGAACTCCAGAGGCTCATTTAACAACAATCTAATTTTATAATTTCATTTCTTCCGGTATATAAATTATATGACTTTTGTCACTGTCCTATCAGAGCCGGGATTGGCGCAGTGGAAGAGCGTCCGTCTCACGACCGCAAGGTCGTGGGTTCGATTTCCAGCACGGGCAAGGAACTTTTTTCAATATTTTATTTACGAATTAAATATTGTAAAGTTTCGGAGCATCGGCTGGGGATAGTCCTGCACGATTCGCTGTTGCGTTCCAATTAACAGTGCTGCTCCTAAAGTGGCGCATGGAGTTAGTAACAAAGCCTACACAGAACACGCAGAAAGATATGACGATGTGGTTGTGAGCATCAGAGAAGAAGTAGGACGGTGTATGTAGGTGGGTGTGGAAAACTACCAGCTGAGCGTGAGAGCGGGCCAGCTGCTTAAGTAGACCTCGGTCTCGGGGGTTAACGATGATAGTTAGCAGGCCTGCCACTGCGCATATGGTAGTGAGTACATTACTAGCCTACGTGTACGTAGGTGGGTGCGGAAAACTACCAGCTGAGCGTGAGAGCGGGCCAGCTGCTTAAGTAGACCTCGGTCTCGGGGGTTAACGATGATAGTTAGCAGGCCTGCCACTGCGCATATGGTAGTGAGTACATTACTAGCCTACAAAACACAGCTGAAAAACTCTGAAAAGAGAGCTGATGGGCGGTGCCTGAAAAGGATGTTAGCCAGCTCTCTTGAGCGAACCACATCAGTCATTGAAAACACTTGGGGTTGGCAAAAAGGTCCCATTGGGGACTAGTTGCTGACGTGGAAACGTCCCCCACCAGTACCAGTACCAGTACTGTCCTATCAAATTGTATGTCTTCATCATTTATATTTTTTTGAACTCATTATTATTCCAATTTCCACCTTTTAACCCGCACTACAAAAAACTTCTTGTTTTTGTTGAATTCACTTGTAACAAAATGTTTCATATACAATATATTGTTTCAGCTTTGAAGATGAAAATTTTCGAAAGCTTGCATAGCAATAAAGTAGTTTGCTGGTAGCCCGATAGACTGAACTCCCCGATATTTCCTATTATATCATAATACAGTGAGGACGTAAAAAGTCCTCCCCCCCTTATCTTTTGAACGGAAGAAACTATCGAGGTCGGGTAAAATTCAGGTAAAAAGGTACTACTTTTACTACTTTTTGGCATAAAAATGATTGTGGTCACGTGGCCTAGTGTCAAGAGGGTAACATCAACTTTTTTTTTTCAAATGTAAAAGGGGGTCACGTGGCACCTGGTTTTGAAGGCCTTCCGATTCTCTATCCAACACCGCTGTGTTTGTGAAAATCGACCAAGCCGTTTCAAACTGACAAGTGTTTGAAATTTGCTTCAAAAATAAATAAGGTAAAAAAAACTGGAACAAAAACCACATTTTAAAATACCAATAATATGCGCACCTATCTTACCACAAAAAATTGACTCTTCGACCATAATCAGTGACGGAGTTGAAATTCTGCTGCAATTAATAGTTGAAATAATTTCTTTGTGAAATTTTTGAAGCAAATTTCAATAGCTGGTCAGTTTGAAACGGCTTGGTCGGTTTTCACAAACACAGCGGTGATAAAGAATCGGAAGGCCTTCAAAACCAGGTGCCACGTGACCCCCTTTTACATTTGAAAAAAAAAAGTTGATGGTACCCTCTTTATGCCAAAAAGTAGTAAAAGTAGTACCTTTTCACCTGAATTTTACCCGACCTCGATAGTTTCTTCCGTTCAAAAGATACAGGGGGGGGGAGCACTTTTTACGTCCTCACTGTATAATCCTGTCAATTAATTATTCAATATCTATCTATCTACCTGTCTATCATGTACCTCTCGCAGCAAGCTGGTGCGCGTGTGCCACGACGACGAGAACTACTACTCGTACACAGAGATCCCGATGGACTGCATCGGCGAGAGCGGCCGTCGCTACAACCTCGTGCAGGCCGCCTACGTGGGCAAGGCGGGCAGCGATCTGGCCTCCGATTTGGGCATCACCGCCCAGGATGACGTCCTGTTCGCGGTGTTCGGCGAGAGCGACGCCGCGGCGGCGAACCGCCCTTCGGATCTGGCCGCCCTCTGCGTCTACTCGCTGAAGGCCATCAGAAGGAAGTTCATGCAGAACATTAGGCATTGCTTCAACGGGAAGGGGCAGCGGGGGCTGGATTTTATCTCGCCCAGTCATCAATGTGTGCCGACGGTGAGTTTTGTTTTCTGTAGTTTCTTGGTGTTGGTTGCGGGAGCTTGAAAGAGTCCGCTTGTCGAAGAAACTTGTCATTTTAATGAGAGTTTTGTTGCCTTAAATTTAAATTTCCTAAAGGCAACAAAACTCGAATTATAAATGTCAAGTTTATTTGGACCCGAAAAAAAAATGCTCCAGTGTAATTCGGTAAGACAATTCAATGAATACGTAAAACACACTATTATTGATGGTTTTCCAATGTTTCCACTCGAAGACTATCCATATCGCAACATTTCCACAGATAATATATTTTTCCTGACAACGCAAGATTGAGAAAAGTTGACATGAAAGCCATCGAAATCGGTTCACAATTCTGGTTGTCATAGCTCAAATGTTGGGTTCCGTTCTGTCGCTGGAATACTTAGGACAGAGTTATTTCGCCTTTATACATGAATTAAATTGTCATTGGGAATTTCAGTGTCGTCAGCGGAGACGAGCATTCCTCAAAATGAGAGTAACTGAACAACGAATTTCGAAATGTTTCAGTTTTCAGATATGAATATAGTATTTTCATTCTGTCTCCATTCTACAAGGTGTTTCACGTTTCACTATTAATAGTACACAGTAAGATCGCAGATTGCTTGACGAATCACAGGAACGAAGTTTCGAAGCGTTGTCATTGTATTTGTTCCACTCCGAACGACATTTATAAGATACATTTCCCGTTATAAAAGTAACAAGGAAATTGATATCCGTGAAAAAACATCGATACAAGAAAGGCGGAAAATAGTAGTAGTAGGGCAAGGCGGGCAGCGATCTCGCCTCCGATTTGACTATCACCGCGCAGGACGATATCCTGTTCGCCCTTCAGATCTGGCCGCCCTCTTTTCGCTGAAGGCCATCAGAAGCAAGTTCATGCAGAACATCAGGCATTGCTTCAACGGGAAGGGGCAGCGGGGGCTGGATTTTATTTCGCCCAGCCACCAGTGCGTGCCGATGGTGAGTGTTGTTTTGTTTTGTGTGTTTTTTTTTGTATTGAAATATCCATGTATACACCAAGGTAGCATTTTAGTGCTCGGGAGCACTTTTCTAGATTACTAGGCACTAAGCCTTTCCGTGAAATATTGGAAGCACTAAGCACTGGTTCGACAAGGGCTCGGGAGCACAGTGCTTACGGGAACAAAAGTGCTCTAAATGCTTTAACGAGCACTAAGCAGAATACTTTGGGACAGCTCTGACCCAGGGACCAAGATTTTCTCTCGAGGCTTCAGGCGAGTGGTAGGTCCCGTGGTTATAATATTCTTCACAACCAAGGTGTATATTAATTTTTCTCTTCACCTATAGCACTTCACTTTGGAGCGACATTTATAAGGAATAACTTCCGTTATGGAAGTGATGAAATTGATATTTGTGAAAAATCATAGATACACTAAAGCGCAAAAAAGTTCAGCTCCTTTTTTTGTACACATGGTGCTGCAGAGAGTTCTACAATCTACATCAAAGTTCACGAAAATCTAAAATTGAATATTCAATTCGAGACCCTGCATCTTGCTTTTCATCTGAGGAAAGGTTGGCCATATCGTGATGCTGTTTACCATCAATTATGGGACACTTTGTATAATTCGAATAACTGAATTGACAAAAAGTGATGACTGAGATAACGGTAATCATATGTTTTTTCAATAAGATTTGTGCCAAAATTCATACACTTATCTGTTCTAGTTTTCTTATCAGAATACAATGCGGTCTATAGATAACAAGTGAACTCATTCAAAATGCATTTTATTATTTTTGGAGAGAAAAAAACGCTGATGTAGGTATCCATTTTTTGCTTATATTTCCATTAACCTATAAAAATAATATGAAATTTATTAAGTTTCACATAATTCCAAAGAAGCCTTTTTAGCCTGAGAAAATCCACCATTATCCTTATTGATCCTTATTGAGATCAACGCAACTAATATGAATTGTTTGTTTCGTAACTTTGAGGATATTCACAGAATTGATAATAATTGGTGATAACAGTACATGTTTTTGAATATTGGTGATTCGTGTTTCATCAATGGAAACCTATATGCGCCCCATGTTTTATCATTGTATTACAATGATTTTTCACTTGTTATAATTTCCCACATCCAACGTCTTACCATTGTATTACGGATAGGTGTTGAAAAGGACCGTACGGTGAAGTCAAATTGGACAAGCGTTTCATTCTCTCGCGAGAAATACAATGAAGTACAATGAATAAACTTTTAAAAGCTACAACTTGCTAATTTACCCCTTGACACTGTTTTTTCCATTATTTTCACGAGCACCTAGCTCTCTTCTAATTCATTTTCATCCAGGAAAAATTGCTCTGGATTTATTGACAACAACTCTGTTTTTTGTCCATTCTAAACGGAAATAGTTATTTGGTGTGGTGAGGAAAATAGAAGAATAGTTATTGATAGGTTAGTATACTTTTTTAATTTTTTTAACGCTAATATTTGCAGTTCAAAATTTTATTCGAATCATAGACCAGTCAGCAGGATATGCGTCCCAATACGGAAGCTTCGAAATTTTGTTCGTAATTAATTCCATTATATTGGTGAAAACCCCGGAACTCCATTATACATATAAATTAATGCATAAAAATTCATTATGGAGAACTGAAATGAAGTTCTGTTGAGAGTAACTGACAGTAATTTGTTCGGAATATATTAATTTCAGTAAATAAATCAGCAAGTTACATTTTCACGAAATGGGCTGTTAGTAGGTATGATGGTAGGCAACTTGATCAAGCTTTGTGTCCCAAAGCAGTGTCTTATTTCCTTAGTTATCATAAAAATAGCTCATTCTCGAGCTCATTTTAAAATTTCATCAGATTATACAACATTTATCTATTTCTATGACTCGTATGGAATAACTTGACATATATTTTCCACTGTTTCCGCAAATCTAATAAACTGCTCAAATTATTCACTGAATTTCCCAGAAACTGCGCCAGTTCATTTCGTATATCGGAGTAAGCGAAATCTAATTTGACCATAACAAAAACAAAATGATAATTTCCGAGAAAGCATCCTTGTGATTTATGTAACCTCACATTTTTTTGTCCCTCGGTATTCCAACCAATATAAACATGTTGACAACGAACGATGGGCATCCTTACAACAAAGGGTGAATGTGAATAGACATTGAAAAGGGATGACAATTCTTGCACTAAGTACGAAGAATATACGATGGAACGTTTTGATATCTCGAGAATAATTGTTGTTGTGGAACGCCATTTCTGCACGATTAACTGTCGCGTTGAAATCGATATGGCTGCTTCAGAGGTGACGTATGATGTTAGTTACAATATCTACCCAGAACGCATCGGACGAGGTTGATGGCCAGTTGATATGTGGGTGGACCAAATTGGACACTGGGAAAGTCCTATTCTCGAATCAGATGGAAGAAAACTGATGTCGGTGCCTGAGGGTCGATTCTCATGAAAAACTCAGTGGTCAAAGCTGCACATCGATATCTGCCTTCGTTTCGGAGTTTTTCGAAAATGGGCATTTCTGAAAAGTGGCTACAGTTTTTTTTTTGGCAAAACTTGTCTGTTCTTATGGAAATAACTGCAAAGCATTTAGTTCTCTAGGCACTGAAATCGGTCTTTCTATATCTAGTTCAAGAATATAACTTGTTCTTCTTAAAGGAAAAGCTCTATTTTGCAACTAGGTATACTTTCAGTGCCTGAGGATCACTTTTCAAGACAAACACAATGCTTTGAAAATGTTTTCATGAAAACGAAGAATTTTTGACAAAAAAAAAGTTTGTCACTTCAAAAATTCAAATTTTTTAAAAACACCTTGTAACTCCGAAATATATATAGATATGGAAATGCGGTTTTTACCTTTGAGTTTGTCATGTGAATTGATCAATTGGCACCGACATCAGTTTTTTTTCTATTTTGTACAGGAATAGATCTTTCCCTTTTGAAGGGCCCGATTGGGCCCACCCTGTACAGTGCATCCTATATTCCATTTTGGTTGACACTGCCAGGTTTCTGGGTTGTTATTGAAGGTAGAGCTTTGCGGTTTTCACGTTCCTGTCCTACAAAATTCGTACTTTTTGGGCTCCTTCTATACCGGGTGACATAGGTTATCGGTCCACCCCTGTAACTTCTGCATTCTCAAACGGATTTTTCTGGAATTTGGTACAGTTATGTAAGCAACCATTTCAGATTTGATGACATTACAATCCTATATAGCGGATTTCCGGTTTTTCTGTAAATACCAGCAACATCGTTTTTTCAAATGGTGCATCCTGTATATTTTTACATATTCTTCTGAAAAGATTCGGAAATGTTGTTTACCATAGCTTACTTGGAAAGTTATTCGAACTTCAAGGAAATTCATGAAACTACTTGTTGATTTTTGAATGATTACAATTTGTTACTGCACCGGAATACAAAAATGATATGTAATTTTTTCCTCAATGTATGTTCTAGATAGACATGTAGGTGGCCCAAAGCGATTCCATTTGGAAAAATTGAATTTTTGATCAATATGTGATGTGATTCATCGATAAGTGACAATTAAAATAGTTTAAGTGTTTTTTCAGGTTTTCTGAAAATCATGTGTATGAAGAATTATACACATTTTGAAGAGAAAGAATAATGAATTCAACAAAAAAATGAAATACAGGGTCTTCTATTGAAAAATATATAAGTTTGTGTCGTATCTCCAAAACCGAACCCTGAAAAAAAAATGTTTCAGTACGTTATTGGATTGTGCGCCAAATTCTTTGGTAGACAGTACATTTTCAAAATCGTCCTGTATCTCATGAACGGTAACAGTCAGTTATACAACATCTGATTAGCTCATCTTTAGTTTCACAAAAAATTAGGACAGGAACGTGAAAATCGCAAGGCTCTATCTTCAATAAAAACCGGCGAGAAACCTGGCAGTCTCAAGACTCTCAACCAAAATGGGATACACTGTATGTATACACACATACAAACGAGGTACTTTGACTCGAATATAGTGTGCCCTGAAAAGTTGCCGACTTACTTGAAACTGACGTCCATAATGGGATATCAACGAATGATCGTTATTAATCGTGTCGGCATACAAAATTGTTGAAGAGGAATATTATTACCGATTGTCTGCGGATAAGAGCTTGCACAATTCGTGCTGTTCCGACCGTACAGTTCCGGCCTGTTGAGTAAATTACGGGCGATAATGTGTAATTATTGAGGAAAGTTTGATTTGGGGATGATTTCGATCGGGCGCCGTTGTTTGTTCAATTCGCGTCTACCTCTACATTCGCCGTATCGTTATGAGATGGGGATTCCGTTCAGTTCATAGATGCTAGAGTAATATTGATTTGTGGATCAGGTGCCAGTTGACGATATTAGGCCTCACCTGGAATCATCCAGATTGTGCACAGAGGGGGAGTATCTGTTGATTAGACCGATTTAGGAACTCCGAATATCACGAGAGGCGTCAATGATATAATGATTTAATTTACTTCGAGACATCGAAAATCAGTTATCACGAATTGAATGTTCAACATTTGTATCGATTTACACACGGTGTTTCAAAATTCAGTATCAAGATTTGAGGAACTCTATAAAAATGTGTCCGCTTCATAATCGATTTTGAATTTTTTTCTTTTCATTTTTCAATACCATTTGCTCAAGGTTCATTAGGTTTCTCATTCCTCAATGTTCAACTCGTAATTTAGATCACAAACTAAATATTTAGCGTGTTTTTTGAACTGTGATAATGATAATAGGTTCCTCCATTTTGTTAACAATTTTAATCCAATCTAGCAGATGAAGAAATTTGAAAGCAAAACAAAAAACTCATTTCGTACTTCAAAATCTACCGGTACACCACAAAAAAGTTTATGGAGCGATAAAGGCTTGACCCTCTAAAAAATATCTTTCTGTAGATTCTTACAATCAATCGACACATTGAATGATGTGAACCCTAAAACGTAAGCCATATTCCAAATTCGATCTGAATATCTATATCTCGAAATTTTAACACTCTGTAGATCGGTAACGATGAGTTTGCGGACACATTTATGTTTATAGAAGAAAAGGGCTGATTATTATTATTAGGAGTAGCTTTTACTGATGGAAATATCGAGTATAGATATTGTGGACTTTGTGGAAATAGTGGTACCGGACTCGAGATCTTTGAAAAAAATGTTAGAATCTCGAGGAATTGCAGTAAATTCATAATCAGATGATGTGTACTAATCCTAAATCGTTTATGGAGCCCATATAATGATTATGTAGAGAAGCGACATCGAAACATCATAAACAGTGAATTCTATCTCAGCTCACTTTCTATATATCTGTTACTCAAATGAATATATGGATCATAAAGAGTGTCGGATAAAATTCATATATTCCGATGTTTATCGGTGATACAGTCAGATGCAAGTAAGAGACAGTGAATATATCATTCGGAATTGGCATTGCAATTAAATCTTTCCCGGTGTTCCTGAAAATTAAATGGTATTTCATTTTGTAGCGATTTTGAATTCAACGCTGGGTGTTTCAAAGGGTAAATAGAAAGATATTGCAATTTCCATGATGCCTTTGTACTCTCATCGATTACAATTTCGCTGATTTATATTTGTCCTGTTTCATGGAAAGCGATCTTGCGGAAAGCGTCAAAAAGTGATTATTTGATTCCTCAAAACTTTTTTGTTTTTCTCTTCTAGGAAGAGGAGGTATAGGTGTTGGATTTCTTTTTCAATTTCTGGAGGTTATGAGTTCTTGGGAATACTTCCATTGGCAAAGAATTCCAAAGCTTTGCCGTTTTATAGACGAACGAGTTTTGGTAAAGTGTTGTTCGACATGTTTGAAGGCTGATGTGTGTCGAGTTTGTCTGAGTGGTATTGCTAGTGATGGAACTGTATAGCAGAGGACATTTCCTGTGGAAGTATCTAGAGAAGGGAAAGGTCGCCGACTATTGTACGGTGTTCTAATTAAGTCAAAGTATTTGTCAGTGTGGCATCACTCTTGGTGGAATCTAAGAGCATCAGCGTATCTTAAGGTGAAACTAGCCGTATCTGTGCTTTGTATAGATCCTGAGAAGCTGTTGAGGTGGAAAGTAGATTTTTGCACGGAATAATCATCCGAGTCTTTGTGATGCAGCTTTCGCGATGGGTCGGACATGATTTTTCCATGAAAGAGTATTGCTGATGGAAATATTGAGCATCGATACAGTGGTCTTGGTGGGAATGGTGGTACCAGACATTGATATCGTTATATCAGGCATATACTGAGTTCCGCCTCTCTAGAGAAAATACATGCTTGAGTTTTGGTGGCGTCGAATTCAACTAGGTTATTGGTTGCCTGCCTTCGTCGTATCATTTCTTAATTTCCTGGACAGAAATGTAAATTCTGGAAGAGAACATCTGCAAAGCTGTGGAAAAGGTAAGTGTTTACTCCTAACAGATCATTGATATAAAGTAGAAACAATGTTGGTACCAACATTGATCCTTGTGGAATGCCGGAATTGATGGAAATGGAATCGTAGTCTCATGGTAGTTTCTGGAGGATCATGGTTTTGCACTAGTGAGTACCATTAGTACTAGTCCGTCATCACCAGGGTCCAGAGGATCATAACTTGGGTACATCCATTTAGTGATGGCGTCCCACAAAACTAGAGTTCGATAGGAATATCGTAATGAGTATGAGCATATCCAAGTGAATTATAATATACTCATGGAATGCCTGAAATAGTTGGAATATCTTAGGAAGAGACACACTTCCCGTCGGGAATAGTTGATTTCGAGGTTGATTTAATTCCACACAGACGGAACTGCTGCAAACAAAACAGGGATGATTGTGCAAACCGCATTTCATAAGAGAGGAGCTGTGGTTTCAGCGTTTCAAACTCCATAATTATTTAATTAACTACAAAATTAAACTAAGCTTGGTTGAAGGGAGTGGATTGCGACCTTTGTGTTGACTGTCGACGGATATTGAAAGAAAGGCGAACGTTCCAGACCGGGTTTGTCCTCCATCATTCTGGTCGAAGGCACTCATTCGCTGTTTTTCTCTCAATTTCGAACATTTTATTCTTTGAATGCTGAGTCTTAATTGGCAATATATATATACAAGGACAACAATTTTATAATTTGAATGATCATAATATAACAGGTACTATGAGGAAGGAGATCAATCATCTTACCATTATCTACAAATTTTGAGGAAATAGTTGCCAGGGTCATTAGGGTAAGGAAGAGTTCCTTAAACACGATAAAAACATATATATGAGTTTGGTGGAAAGCATGAAAGGAACATCTAGAATTCGTCATCTTGTGAAGGAAAAATAAAATATCAGGAAGGGTATGATCCAAAATCCACGAAAAAGACAATGACGCTTCAAAACGTCAAAAATATCGAATATTTTTATCTAAACAGACGTTTAAGTGTGTAATATGATAAGTTTTTAAAACATCAAGTCATTTACTATCGTGCCTATATTCAGAAACAAATAAAGTTGAATTGCATTCAAGTCGTAAGAGAGACCTTCATTATCAATAGTTGGGAAAACGATGGAAGCGAAGAAGGACCATGTGAATTTCCAGAAAGTTCATGTCCTTTTGATATCGTATTTTCTCAGTTCAGTGCCAGGAAAATTAGTTGACGTTCTGTTTCTTCTCGATCCTTCCATTGTGGAATTCACCCTTCCGTTGTAATATTTGACATCCCCTTAGAGGGAAAACTTTCGGCTCATACTTTCGAAGATAATCAGAGTTCGGTCGGAAAATCTTTAAACAGCGAATTTGGGGTCTCGGCGATCTCTCTTCTCGCAATTTTCAAGTTTTTCCCCGGATTTTTCGTGGAAACTCTTTTCTCACCGCCGGAAGTCTTTTTCCCAAAGGCGTGATCTATGAAAGTAGTGGAATCCCGGGCGGAATCCCTTTCCATTCATTAAGTAGATAAACTTGAACCAATCAAAATGCGAAATGTCAATTTCAACTTGCCAAACTTCCAAAGGTGCCAGGGCCGTATTCGAAAATTATATCCTATTTTATTAATTTATAAAATAATTTGGGAATTGTTGAAAGTCAATGTCTGTGCATGTGTTTGAGATTTTTGTTTTCACCTGCAAAAAAACTCGAAAAGCAGTGCTCGACAAACCGAGGATAGTCGAGAATCTATTCATTTTTGAAAATTTTTCGGTTATTATGAGATTTATTAAAGTCAATCGAAAAGGTTTCGTTTCCAAGGACAGGATATAGGGTTTATTTTGAGTTAGTTCTTCATTAATAGCTCGAAAATACGCCAATTTCAATGAAATTTCCACGGTTCATTTGAATAATTATCAGCCGTCTACCGGATCAATAATTGGATCCGATCCAGAATTTCCAGAGGCGTACCCAGTGAGCAAGTCGGTTGTTTTTTGAAGAAAAAAAAATACCACCTACTCAAGATTTTTGTCCCTTGAATTATTTTCAGTGTCTCTCTAGTCCAGCATAAAGAGAAATAAAAATGAACAGGAATTGTCCAAACACTTCTTGTTTTGTTCATTCATTGAAACATAAACATCTGATGAAATTTTATCCAAATTGTTTCTACGGGGCAACTATCAGAAATACTTTTTTTTTTAACTTGGAAGTACTTGACAATGCATTTCACAAATCATTTTTTCATTTGAAACCGCAACAAAATGCCAGGTGATATTTCTTTCTGCAGGAACAAACCAACTTGCTCTCTGGGTCCTGGAGAAAGGCGAACTATCAATGAAAAATTCATTGAAAAACCTCTAGACCCTGTATATCGGAAACGAAGGACTGAGCGGAATCTCGGAATCTCGCATTAGGTTTTATTATTACAACTCTATCTCAAATAAACCATACACTTATATTTTTTCATCCGATTTGAGAGATGATGTTTTTGAATGTTCAACAGATATAATTCAATGTTCGACGTGGCAAATAGCCAGGAAAGTAGTTGTTTTCTGTTGAATATTCATGTGCATATCTTTATATGAAGGAGAATGCAAATTCTCTACTTCAGAAGATTTTGTTGTCAAATTCTTATCGTGTGTGTTCAATAGATGTAATTCAATGTTCGTCGTGGCATATAGCCAGGAAGGCAGTTGTTTTCTGTTGAATAAACCGAGAAAGAATTGATATTTTCATCACATAGAGAATGCGAATTCTCAATGTATTTCTTTATATATATATATATCATTTTTTATGCTCATAATTATATCTGAGGATATACCTTTCCAATACATACACTTGTTCATCCACTGAGAATATCCTCGGTGTTCTTGATGCATATATACTCGTTTTTTCTTATCCCTGTGTTTACGATCATCGAAAGGGCTAATCCCGCCTGTCGCCTTTGATTCATCGTTCGCCTCGTGTCCATGCCCATGTGTTTGCTTTGTGGCGCTAGAGCCTAAGCCTACGTCTGAGTACACCAGATTTTCTTTTGGCG